ATTCCCGTAGTTTTTTTTTTTTCAAAAACTCTGAATGTTTTTTTTTATTTGAACTACTCTATTATCTAATATATTTTCAGTTTACAATTTTATTTTATATTTTCGAATTTTAATTAAAAAACAATAATTTATAATTAAAAAAAAAATATAAATTTTGGAAAATTCCGAGGAACTGGGCTTCCTCGGAATTTTCCGAGGAAATTGAGTCCTCGGAAAATTCTGAGGAACTGGGCTTCCTCGGAATTTTCCGAGGACACCAGTTCCTCGGAAATTTTCGAGGAAGCCCAGTTCCTCGGAATTTTCCGAGGAACTCGTTTGTCGGAAAATTCCGACGACGTTATGTCCTTGGAAAATTCCGACGAATCATGTCGTCGGAATTTTCCGATAACATCTATGCCTCGGAAGTTTTCATCGGTAAAATCCGAGGGAATTCCGAGGAAACGTCTGACGAAATGGTTTCTCGGAATGTCCTCGGAATTGTGGTTCTCGGTATTTCCTCAGAATTTTTCGAGGAAATTCCGAGGAAACTGGAATTTCCGACGAAAATTTTCCGACGACCGGTTTCGTCGGTATATCCTCGGAATACCTATATTCCGACGACATTCCGACGAATTTTTTCGTCAGAATCGCCGTGTTTTCTTGTAGTGACAAACTAAAGTGTTCTTTAATAAAAAAAAACAAACAAACTAAAGTGTTAGATGCGAATAAATTCGGACATGAACAATTTCGTGTTTGTTACAATTTCGGTGTTCCATGTACTTTTTTCGGTGGACTATATTTCAGTGAATGTATATTAATAAATACGAAGATCCATCTAAATATATGTATGACTAAAAATAAATAATATGAATTGATTTTCAGACAAATACTTTAAAATATTTCGAAGGAAGTAAAAATATCAATTTATAATGTAACGGAGAGAAGAATTTGGACAATGGGGTTTGAGACAAAGCCCGTAGATATCTCTACGATACAAGGTATAGTGATTTATGGAAGTTTAATTATCTGTAGAATATTTCTGGGAACCATGTGATCGTATTAAATGGGATATTACGTGTAAACTAATCATAGAATCAATCATACAGTATTTAATTTTATCTGCATAAGATCGTTCTAATTTTCATGCACACGTGATTAGTTTCACCAAATGAGAGATAATAGGACAATCTGCATGTATCAGAAAATAGTGTTTAAAGTTTAAACAAACATAAAACTATTAGTCCTTATATAGCTGTTTATTTATAATATCCGTCAGTCATTGATAACTCCTAGACTTGTATTTCTGAGTAAAGTTTTGAACAATTTTAAGCATGTGATTTATGTAATTTAATATCTCTTTTGCAGCTTTGCTATATGATTAAGTGTGCACAAATCTGGAAACGGTTTTAAAATTGTAGCGTGTCATTTTAGTGAAACGGCGAGTTCCACGGGAGAGAAAGGCTATGAATGGTATGCAGTATAAATGCAGATGAAATGCAGATTATTTAAATGCAGATGAGACTGCATTTTTTTCTCCATTCATGTTTTTAGTTGCAGAACCAAATAAATAAATAAAAAATAAATGCATCTGCATGCAGATTAGGATTTACCTTTAAATCACTGTCCTGCAAGTATAAGAGAAAAATGAACGGTTCGTGGGACAGATCTCCATTCCACTCCAGAGCTTTGACTTTTTTTTTATTCTTTATCATTTATTTACTTTAAACTAAAATTCTTTTAAAATATATTCTCTTGAAATTCTCGTACATTGACCTATTGACTATATTATATTCTAAAATATCTTTATAGACAATTATATTTATTCAATTTACATATTTATATTTTTTTATATATTAGTTATTTGACTGTTATTTTATAGGTATAAAATCTATAAATTTACTAAATAATCACATATAATGTTCAAAAACTATAAAAACATATTCATTATATTTTATTTTATTACTGTTGATATTTAACATAAATACAATAATTAATTGTTGGGTACTAAAGTTAAAAGTTATCTTATATTTTTTTTATAAACCAGTTAATGAATTCATGCATGTTATTAATAACTCATATAATCATATATTGATTGCACATATTTAAAAATTTAAATAGTTATTTTAATTATCATTTAATATCTTTAGATAATAAAATATTGAGAATATTCATTATTTAATACTTAATATTTCTTATTATATCTTATTAATTTTTATAGAAATTATTTAAAGTTTCGTTGTATTTATTAAAAAAATATTTATTTTTTTTATAGATAAGAATTTGTATTTGGTTTAGACATTTAATTTATATATTTTTTAATATTCAGTCATATGCGATAATTCGATAAATTAGTTTAACCAGTTAGATCTGCATTTGATTCTGTTTGATCTGCATTTGATCTGCGTGATCTGTATTTATTCTGCTTGATCTGCATTATGTGTTGATCTGCATATTTTGAACTGCGTCACCCATTCGAAGCCAAAAGTGAAAAGAATAACCAACCAGTAATACCAGAATGTTGGTTATTTAAAATAATAATGTGGTAACAATTTGAAGTGGTAAAAGGAGCGGTGGTTATACGGATTCCATACGGCTCACGTGAAAACCTGACTCCCTTTTACATCACCATCTTATTTTGCCCGGTCCAATATTTTTTCATAAATAATAACAGCTGTAACTCGTTCAAACGTTATTATTTTTTTCTGTCAACCAGTTCAATCAAGCATTTTATTTATTAAATACATGATATATTTTTCCTTGTGTTTGTGTCTTTTTTTTTTCAACAATTTTTTTTATATATATCTAAGTTGATTATAAATATATTATTTTGAGATAAAATATCTTCAATATAGTAACTGATATTAATTTAATAAATTAATTTATTTTTATAAAATAATTTTTTATCCAATTAATAAAAAAATCTTTTATTTCATAATATTATTTAAAACTGTTTCTCTTAAAATAGTTGAACTATTATTTTATTATTCTTGAAAATGGTTACTTCAACGAATAGTTGATTATTAATCTAAAGTTTCAGAATTCCATCAAAAGAGTCAACCATTATAGTGTTTTTTCTTGGACAAACAATTATAGTATTTATCAATCAAATTTCAAATTATATATCGAGATTAGACCTATAACATAAAATAAAAACAATTAGAAAGGCGAAAGAAAAAAAGTTCAATTATTTGAAGGAAAAAAAGTGAAATAAAAACTCTATAAAAAAGAGACGCTTGGGGGAGAGTCATGGGTCCACTTCCTCCTTCCTTCTCCGATTCTTTTTTCGAACTTTCCCTGAACAAACCAACTTTCTCTCAAAGAAAATGACTTCCATCGATTTCGACAACGTGAAAGCAGAGAAAGCCAAGGCACTGCACCGTTTCAAGACCATTGGTTTCCTCTTCCGTATCACTGAGATCTGCGTCGCTCTTCTCTTACTCTGTTGGATTTTCACTTCCCTCCCTTTCGCCGTCAAAATCTCCGGCGAGTTCCTCCGCCGTATCTCTTACATTGTATCCACTCCTCTCTTCATGTTCCTCCTCGGAAACTCCATCGTCGTCGCTCTCCTCACCACCAAATCCACCGTCTTCTCCGCCGCTGGTGCCGTCGACGGCGGAGCGGAGGCGGATATCTACGACGTGTTTATCAGAACCGGCGAAAACCGCGCGAATTCTCCCGACGGTGGGGATCCGATCATCGTTTACGACGATAAACAGATCGTCAACACTGAAAAAGATTCAAATTCAAATCACACGGAGGCGCGTGAGGACTACACGGAGGCGCGTGACGATAATACGGCGGCGAGTGAAGAGCACGCGCAACTAAAACCGGTGAAGGACTCTGTTACTGACACCGATGCATCGGAGAATCATCACATTACGAAGGTTTTTCGAAGGAGCAAATCGGAAATCACATCGAAGGAGACTCAAGAGACGGCGGCGAAACCATTGCTCCGGCGATCGGAGACGGAGAAGTGCCGGGAAATAGTGGAGGCGTGCGAGGAAGTTCCGTTTCCGGAGGATAATCTGACGAACGAAGAGTTTCAGAAAACGATCGAAGCATTCATCGCGAAACAGTTGATATTCCGTCGCCGGGAATCACTTGCCGTCGTTATCCATAACCAGAAATGATTTAACTGAATATTTTTTATATATATGTAATAGACATAAGCTATGTAATGTAACTTCGAGTTCGAACCAACAAACAAAAGTTTTGTAAGGAAGAAGAACATCGAAGAGATCGGTCGGTTCCATCTCGTGTTGTGTTCCTTTCGTTGTTTGGGTTAAATACGTATAGTTAATGTTCGAATCAAGATTTGTCGAAAGATTCGGATGCATTTTAGAACTCGATTTACATGAACAGTGTGTGTATGTTTCTCTGTACTATTATTTTGCCTTCTGTTGGTTCAGCCAAGTGTCACTACCCTGAAGTGATAATAATACAAACTTGAAGTAGAAACTATGTTTCGTGTAATAATGGCATTACCAAAGTACTTTTGCTTATAGTGCAACCCAAGAAAGAGACCATGTTTCGTTTTTCTATTGGGCTTTTTGGAGTGAAATCTATGAGTACTTATTTTGAACTTAGCAAAGTATCATTTTGGTTGAGTATATTGTGTTTTTCAGTTAAAAAAAAACATTATATACTCAACCAAAGATGCTTTAATAAGTTCAAAATAAGTTCAAAAACATTATATAATGTTTACCCACAATTAAAGAAAAAAACAAACACTAGGCAGTGTTATATATAGAGTGCGATCTTGTTTATCCTCATCATGTAACTTAGTTTAAAAGAATTTGTATTAATTAGCTATATAACAAAAATTAAATTAAATTTCTAAATAAATCAGTGTTGGAGTGTAAAATTCTGACCTAGAAATTTAAGCCTAAAATATGAATCAAAGACCTAAAATGAGGTGAAAGTCATTATCGAATTGGAAAGAAACCCGACAAAATCATATTTACATGGAATAAACAATACGATCTAACTTACACGGTGAAAACCCGATATAAATGTCAAAGTGAACGATAAAGTTATCCAAAAGAGTAATAACACTTGGACTTGTAATATATATGTCAAATTATTAAGTAAAATTAATAAACATAAAATTATGATTTTGAGTTATGAAAACAAGATAAATGATAGAACACAATGGAAATAATACATTTTACGTAATTCCTTACTAGACTTTTGTTTTATTACTTAGTTCTTGCATGAAGTTGAAAAGTCAACATTACTAAAAAATGAACAAAACTTACCTTCAAATTCACCTCTTTTTCTTAAGTCTCTCTCACTTCTTGTTTCACTCATTAACTATCTCATTCTTTGATTCCAACTCTTGTGTGTTTTTCTAAAAGACTATTGTATTTGTGTGTGTGTTTAGACGATCTTGATCATCTAGTTATTTATATATATAAACTTCAGACTACTATTTTATAGGGATATTCACTCTATATATTTAAGAAAATATATTATTTATTATATGAAAGACGATGTGCTATATATCGTTCTAAAAAGTGCCTTACGTCTAAACAGTTTATAATGTATAATCTTCTATTGCCTAATTGTTGAGTGTTGCAGTATGAATACATTTGATAAAACTAAACATAGTTCATATCACGAATGAAAAATCACGGTGTTAATTTGTACGATGATGATGACATCAAAACAGGTGAAAAGTGAAAACCCATTAAAAATAACGAAATCATAGTTGATGCGATATGAACATGTATTATTGTATATGGTTGGAAATGAAACATATTTCATATTCTTATGTGTTTCAAAATAAATCATCCCATAGTCTATTTTCTATTCAAAACTGAAAATAATCGAATTGTATAAGCCACATACACAGAGTGTCCGGTGGGTACGTCTGAGCACTAATCATAGTGCAATAATAATGAATTGCAAAATATTTTAAATATACACATTTATGCAGACACACTCACGCAGAAAAAATAAAAGATGAAAAGTTACGTTCTTTTTCACCAAGTTACGTATCTCTGCTGATAAAATTTCAAAAGCAGCTTTTTTCTACATCTTTTCTGTCTTGTTTTTCTTTTCAAATATTAATGGATCATATAAATTACAGATAGTCGCTTTTAATTTGTTTTACGATCTTTATTTAAGATTAGCAACAATGATGATTGTCTACGCCACGAAGGCTATTGCTATGTGGTTGTTGGATTCATTTACCATCAATGCATATAATTTGATTAATTAGCTAAAGGTTTTTATTTTTAAACTTAACATTCTAAAATATCCTACCAGAGTTAGATTATACTATACTATAGTGAAAAATAAAGAAATTGTTACAAGGAATATATCCATCATAGGTACACTTTTTTACTGTTCCAAAGAAGCTCCTTCCTATTTTATGTACTTTCACCGCAGGGTTGGGAGCCGATGAATGAAGCATATTCCAGAAAATTTCACTTTCTTTATTATTTCACTTATATAAAAACAAAAAAAGAACTAAGCATGCATTATTATCCTTATCATGGATGCATGAACGAAAACAGGAAAGACAAGGATGTTGACGTGAATCAACATATATTATCTTTTATTACATAACCTTAAGCCTAAGAATTATGGTATAGCGTATAGATATTTGGCCCACATTTATATCAACGGTCGATAAAAATATGTGAATATATCAATACATTTTGGGTGTATTCATTCAGCAGGATCTTGATTACTGTTGTCACACTGCACTATATATATGTATATTATATTTTTAAATAACTTTTATTGATTATATTTATTTCAATCCTACGTAAGGTTTTTGTTCAATTTCATGCCTAATTATTTCTTTGGGTAAATTTATTAGTATAGTGTTCATCGTAGATAAACTTTTAATCATTTTATCGATATTTAGGAAATAGGTTTGTAATAATTGTGAGATAACAAACTAAGTCCCACATTGGAGAATTAGATAAGGAGAATCTAATATATAAAGATATGTCCAACTCTAATAATATGAGGCCTTTTGGGAAGGAAACCAAAAGTAAATCCATGCAGGCTTGTCTATCAGGCCCAAAGTGGACAATATCGTACTAATAAGAAAAGATAGAGTTGGACATGGGCTTTTACAATCCCAACAATTGGTATCAGAGCGGTTGACGAGAAATCTTCAAGAAGACCAAAATACCCTTCGAGAGATGAGTGGGTATCCTATGAGTTAGGAATGAGAGGTCGATGGCAGAAATCAAGTCAGAAGATCCTGGAAATCAGTTGTGGGACACGAGATAAATGTGATTCTTAGTTTGAGGGGGAGAATGTGAGATAACAAACTAAGTCCCACATTGGAGAATTAGACAAGGAGAGTCTAATATATAAAGAGATGTCCAACTCTAATAGTACGAGACCTTTTGGGAAGGAAACCAAAAGTAAATTCATGCAGGCTTGTCTATCAGGCCCAAAGTAGACAATATCGTACTAATAAGAAAAGATAGAGTTGGACATGGACTTTTACAATCCCAACAATAATAACTCATTTGTACTAAAAGTATAAAACATACATTGGTGTGTGAAAATTTGTCCGGGAATTTATAAATACGCCAGGTGTTGATTCATTATTTTGCTGCACATAGGACCCCCACTAAAACCAGATAGACACAAGCTATTATTCTTTGTAGTATTTGAACATGATGTTTATATTTAGTTTTAGTTAGTATAGTAGTTCAAGAACATATGAATTAGGTTGACAATATTTGTTATTTCCTTTTTAAGGCTTATTTGTTATTTCCTTTTATAATTCACATGGATATTTTACAAACTCGGACGTGAGTTATTACACATCAACGACATTATTACAAACCATTAAACTGAAAATGAGCAGATCAATAATTGATTTTTATTGGATTTATTCTTGGGTTCACCCACCGTCCACTTGGAATGCATCATTTCATATTTGATATCTTTTAAAAAAGGAAACAAAATCTTGTTAAGATATATTATGTTTTAAAAATAAAAATACAAAAAATAAAATAATTAATAAAAACAAAAATAACTTTTTTAAATAAAATATTTAACACTAAACCATAAACTTTAATCCTAAACTCTAAACGTCTGGGTAAATCATAAACATTTGGATAACTTTTATAAAAAATTCAGTAAAAAAATTATTTTAACACTAAACCCTAAACTCTAATCCTAAACCCTAAACCATTGGGTAAATCATAAACACTAAACCCTAAACTCTAATACTAAATCCTAAATCCTTGGACAAATCATAAACACTAAATTTTTAAAACACTATAAGATTTATCCAAAGACTTATGATTTAGCAGGGGTTTAGGGTTTAGGATTAGAGTTTAGGGTTTAGTGTTAAAATATTTTATTTAAAAAGAATTATTTTAGTTTTTATTAATTATTAGTTTTTATTTATTTATTGTTGTATTTTTTTATTTTCAAAAACATAATATAATTTAATAAGATTTTATTTCCTTTTTTAAAAGATATCAAATAGAAATAATACATTTCTATTGGATGGTGAACCTAGGGGGTGAGCCCAAGAATAAGTCTTTAAAAAATAACATAAAGCGATAAGATAATTAAATAATGATGGTGAATATACAATCCAGTTAAAATTAATTATATAATACAAATAAACAGTTATATTGTTTGATTTATATTTATAATAGAATTATTGTTATATTTTCTTAACACTTCATATATTTGGATAGGTTTTAGTAAAATTATATCTAACACTACATTCAAAATTTATGAAACATATTTGTATAATGAATTTTAAAAAATTAGTTAATAAAACCAATATGTATAATGAATTTAAAAAAAATAAGTTATATGCACTAAATTTAGATATTTTCGTATTTAGAAAATATATATTTTAATTTTTTTTTTGTAAAATAATAACTCTATAAATTAATAAAATAAATTAGTCTCAAAATTTTTAATTTATAAAAATTTTACTGTATATACACTTCCAAAAAAAATAATTGTAATAAACTCTCTTTCTTAAGTTTTTACTTATCTGGCCACCACTGATTTGTACGTATGGTGCCTCATTAACTGTTTACTTATCTGGCCACCTCTGATCTGTAGGTATTAGCCGTGCGATTTTTAACCGAACCGATCAAGCCGAACCGAACCAAACCAAAATTTTCGGTTTTGGTCTTGATTTCGGTTTGGTTCGGAATGGTTTTGAAAATTAATTTGGTTTTCAGTTCGGTTTTTGATTTTTTTTTTTTTTTTTGAAAATTATGAAAACAAAAAATATCCGAAAATATCCAAAAATACCTGAAAATAACCGAAATTCCGAACCGAATTATCTGAATTATCTGAATTATCCGAAATAACCGAATTTAACCGAAAATAATCTAAAATATCCGATTGTTTTAGAAAATTATACCAAAATCTACCCAAGACAAAAAAATTTCGGTTATTCAAAAATTAAAGTTAAAACCGAAAATAACCGAAAACCAAATCGAACCAA